TTAAAAATAAACTAAATGTGAAAATGTAAAAACTTACAATTAGGAATATAACCAAGAAAAAAAGATCTTTTAAGATTATTTGATGAAAAATTAAAGGTATGTACATTTTTTCTATTTCTTAATTTTAAATATTTCATTGCACTATACATTGATGATAATACTCAAAATATTCAGTCTGAGTGCAAATAACTACAATTAAAAAAGTAACAAATCTTTAGTTAAAATACTTATCTAAAATAATCTAATTTTTGTGTACAAAATACTTGAAATCTTTAACAAAATCTTAACAACTGTTTTGAAGATATATTAAGAAAGCTCAGAGTTATTGTAAGTATTGTTGAACTTTGTATCATTCTCCATACGAGAAATAAGTCACATGGGTACAAACTGCAACCATATGGTTAATTAAATGTACTTCCCAAGTAATTTTGTATATATCTGTCAGTAAGTGATTTATATATTACAGTAAAATTATAAAATATTGGTACCACAACCGACAGCTATTAAATTTTGTTTGGTACTTATTAGATATAGGTTATTGTTTTTTGTAAAACCGCATAATAGCATTTCAACTAATCTTTAATTTATTTTTCTCACGAAAAGCCATCCTGAAACACTTAAGAATGAAATATTCAAAAATATTTCTCTGATTGTGATGTTTCATTACACTTGTTACATTAACCCTATGTGCATGGTAATCAAAGTGCACATGCTATGACCTTTTACAGTGTTGTTCAACATAGTATTATATTTTTGATGTTAGATTTATTAGCTATTCATACATTACTCTACATTGCTGATATAGTAACAGCTCATGGTAGAGAAGAGTAAACACCAGATGTTATAATTTTTCTATACTGAAAATAATATTCTTGTTCAGTGCTGCCCTCTATATGAAAAAAATGTTTTGTGCATGCCACAAACCTTGAGACATCCACACATCTGAAACTGACTAATTCCAATGCATCTCGCATGCAAATTATCATGTGACAAACCTCCACCAATAACAATGCGACATTCTCTTGATGCATGTGACTCCTTCTATTCAATTCTACCAAACTATCACTTCGAGTATTGGCAGAAAATGGAAACACTGATTTTCAGTTGGGAGGAAGTTAGTACCTATCAGAAATACATTTTCAGTACAGGAAAATTATAACTTCCAATATGGTACATTACATCCGCTCATATAAATAGCTAGAATCCCACATTGAATAGGTGGAAGGACTGGTGCGAGGGAAGGAAAGAAGCATCCTCCGAAAGTGTCTGAAGGACACTCCCCAAAAGAAGATCTTCATAGTCGAAGATCAAACATGGGAGACAGCACCACTTCTAAACCAGGTATACTCTTCACCCAGGGTTGGCTTGTTCAGGAGGAAGTGGGGCAAGTTCAGGAGAAGGAGGTTGGTCCATATAATGATTAATTTCACTTGCAGCCTGTGATATAGTAGGAGGCATGATACTGGAAGTGGTAACATTAACCTCAGAATTCATAGTTGAACTATAAATCAAACAAAAGTGTTTGATTTATAAAAATTCAAGAGTGAGAAAAAAAAAAGTTAACTGAAAAATTCTTCCACAATCTATAGATAAAAAAATTAATGACGAAGTTCCACTTGGAAATTTAAGTAATTAAAAGTCATAAATTTAATTCATATGAACAGCACCAAAACAAAAATGTCTTGACACAAGTACTGCCAAATGAGAAGTGATAGTTTGGTAGAATTGAATAGAAGGAGTCACGAGTGTGTGTTGCGCTCTTATTGGTGGTGGTTTGTCACATGATAATTTGCATGAGAGATGCATTGGAATTAGTCAGTTCCAGTTGGGTGGGAGTTTCAAGGCTTGTGGTATGCACAAAACATGTTTTTTGAATATAGAGGGCAGCACTGAACAAAAATAGCTATTTATGTGAGCGGAGGTAATGTACCATATCAGAAAGAATATAAATAGATAGTGAAAAAAGTGTAAATATGCATTTTGGAAGTTCTGGAGGTTAAGTAAATGCAATATGTAAACTATACAATGGACAAAACTATTTCTAATTTTCATATTAACATGAATTTGCACTCCAACTTATTAAAGTCTGAGTCAGACTGACATTGTCAATTCACAGACATATATTGACAACACACCTGATTTTTTACATACAACAGACATTTACATCATAATAAAAGTTTGCCATATTTTGTGTAGATAAACTTAGTACATTTGTAATTATAGTCAATATTTGTAATGGACCGAGTCTGTACACATTTGATTAAAAGCCTTGCCAGGTTTAATCTTGTAAAGGAACAGCTTCTTCAGCAGTGGTTCATAACAAAGTGTAGTTTGAGTGATATGTTAGTAAGTCCTATTTCTATTAGATCTCTGTTGTACTAGTCAAAAGTGAAAAGTTTCTAATCTTCTACTGATGTTCCATCACATTGGTTAAGCTACATGGAGTGATATTTGACCAACTTTCTTATCCTACACTATACAACTAAAGTTATTTCTCAACTAAGCAAATACATGGAAATTGCTCACAATTCTTACAATATAATCAACTTGGCAAATAACATATGATATTTTATCAAAGTAAAAAAAGACAACAAAATGACACACATAAACTGACAAAAGAATACCAGTAACATTTAGTATTCAGCAATCTAACGAAATAAATCTTATACATCACATTCAGGATAGAATCAACTTTCCTTGAAACAGTGGGGGTAAAAATTGGCTCAACAATCGATACTAACCTTGCTCCCAACTATCAGTAAGAACGTCTATGACTTCTTTACACCAATTAGGATGAAAATTTTTCTTGAGACCACTATCTACAGCCATTACTGAATTGTATGAGTTTGAAGAATGTGTCAAAATATCACAAAGGAGACTTAGTTGTTCTGGATCAGTATTCTCCAAAATTCTGTTTTTTAGACATTCTAAACTGTTACATAAATAGCCCAAACTGGTAGGTAATAGACAAAAATATGTGGTTAATGCCTTCTTCGCAGCAAACTTGACAATTTTCTCTTCACTTTCTAGAAACATAATCTAAAAAAGAAAAATTACTATAGTATATAAAATACCCAAGTTTTGTTACTCTAAAACTACAATATTTAAGCAGGTAATGAAAGCACGTGACATTACACAATAATCAAAAATAACAAATAAAAAAACGTTAACTACTCTACTAACAAGTTTGAAATTTACATTAGCATTTTGTTGACTGCAATATAAGATATGATAACTGTAATGTTATACAACTTCAATATAATTTAAAGATATATATTACATGTAAATCATGCAAATAAGCTGTTGGTATTCAAACAAAGCGAAAGAAGTAACTGTTTCATTTTGAATGTACTTAACGATTAAGGAATATTTTATTACAAGCTACCACTTTTACAGTAGGGAAGATTTGTTTTTAGAACAGATATGATGTTTCAATCACAGGTGTCATTCTCAAGTACACAAGTTGTAACAGTAAAGAAGGATTCAGTATTTTAAATACTAAATGCTAGTACTAAATACTTTTTCATCATGATTCTCACCTCCCCCATAAAAATAAGCATGCAAAAAAGCATGTCTTAATACTTGTATGCAAGTAAATGTCAATATCATGGATGTTACAGTTATCACAAAATCAATTTACAGATGCTTACATATTACAACAAAATGCAAACCTATTCCAGACTCATAACAAAGAATATGTTTCTACAGAACTACCGACTTCAACCATACAATTTAAATATGGGCCTGTGGAATGAAAATTGCAAACTTAGATATAATCAAGACATACGGCCAAAAAAACAACCTGCAGGACCCACTGTGTATTATTAACAGGACAGTTTAGCAATTTCCCACCTCCTGTAAGTTGGACTGTGTAATCCAAACTATCATATATTTTCAATGGATGTGCTCTACTGGGCTTACTTCACATACCAAATTCAAAGACAATCCATTAAGAAATACCCATGATATAATACCTCCAATTTTGAATGAGCTTCTTTTTCACACCAAAAGTATGGAAAGTTTATTTGATATAGAAACATACTTAACATTTATTGATTTTTTTCAGATTTTGTACACTGATAGATCTTTATAACCTATAATTAGGAGTCTCATTTGGTGTAAATATAAGCTAATAAAATTTAATGAAAATTTTTGTGCTATCAGTCTAACATTTTTACTACAGCTACACCTAAAATGTGGACCATTTTTAGTTCTTTGTCCTTCGGATTAAAGACAGCTGATTTAGAGCAACAAAACTATAAGGTAAAAGGACATGCAGATACATAAGTACTAGTTAGGCCAAGCAAACTAGATTAATAATTTCTAGCTCAAGTTTTCAAAAGAATCATACAGGTAGACAGTTATTATTGATTGCAAACTTTTAGCAAAAATTTACTAAACTTTATGAAATTATTCTAATTAAAGAGTGTTTAGTTTCACATGATATTAGCTTAAGCAATTCACATAAATAATTATGCTTAATATGGCTGTACTGAATGCATGGGGGTGATAATAAGAAACTGTTAATCTAAATTACATGAAGCTTGTATAAAGGAAGCTATAAACACTGTTTTAGAGAGGAAAACCTACCACCAATAATTTTAAAGAATCAGGTTGGTTCTGTGAAGTAAAGGTCTGTTCTATATAATAGGGTTGTGATCCTAAAGCTAATCTTGGTTACTATTGCATGTCACTTTCTTACTTGCTGTGATTTGTTGGTGTGAAAAAAAGGTGTGGCCAAAAAAACAAGGATTGAGTGTGCAACTTAAAAAGGAATGAAATCAAAATTGGCAACCAAACTGGTAGCTACACTTATAGCATTGATAAGAATTTTACAGCAAATATCCATTCATTAGTTTCCTAGGTCAAATATTTTGTTTTACCCACCATCATGCCCAAAGTTTAACAAAAAATGTGGCCTGGCTGACTAATGAATGAATATTTGCTGGAAAATTCTTCTTAATGCTGTAAGTATAGCTACCAGTTTGGCTGCCAATTTTGATTTCATTCCATTAAGTTGCACGCTCAATCCTTTTTTGGCTGAAAATTTTTTTCACACCTAAATTGTATTTGATTAGATACTTTATAACAACATATTAAATTTTGTAGAAAACAGCTTGTGTGCAACAGCAATTATTTTTCATCATTTTTATAATTATA